CCCCGCAGCGCCCACGCGCCGTCCCCGGGACCCCGCCCCGCAGCGCCCACGCACTCATCTCCATGAACTCGTCGAACAGGCTGAAGGTGTTGACGGGGTTCAGAAGGTAGTTTCGCTGCCAGTCCCCGAGCTCGGGGTCCCGGGCGGGCGCAGAGGCCTGCTTGGAGCGCCACTTGTGCGCCAGCCACCTGCGGGCGAGACAGCGTGGGGAGGGCGCGGGGCGGAGGGGCTGGGGCTCCCGGGCCGGGCGGGGGCGGCACTCACGGGCCCAGGTACTCCGCGCAGTTGCTGAGCGTCTGCTTCAGGCCCATGATGATGGCCATCTGCACGAACAGGTCCATCATGCAGCCGCTGGCGTGGCACTGCGGGGTCGGGGGCGTCAGGGAGGGGTCCTGGGGGGCGGTCAGGGGACCAGGGTGGCCCAGGGGCGCGGCGTGAAGCCTCGGGGTGACTGACCTCTTCCAGCTTCCACAAGCCGGCCAGGCGCGTGGACTTCCCCGGGTGGCCGTTGATCCTGCGGGGGGACGGGAGGTCTGGGCGCTGCGGGCCGCGTCCTGCCTCTGCCGGGGTGGGTGCGCAGGACAGAGGCGGGGAGGAAAGGAACGGAACAGGCGGGCAGGCCCTGCAGGGGAGCGGGGCACCGGCGCTCACGCCCAGACGGGCCGCACCCCACGTCGCGCACCCACGGCGACACGCGGGCTCCCGACGGTGTCTGTCAGGACTGGCCTCGGTTTCTCCCCGTGGAAACAGCACACTGGGTTATCTTGTGTTTAAAATCATCTGCTTTCCATAATACGAGAAAAACGTGAACTCCCTTAAACCAAAAGTCAGGCTCACGTCACTGGTGAAACTCCACAAGCATTCCTACGGTAGCTCCTGACAACCAGTATTTAACGTGGTTCTGGAATTCCTTGCAAATAGGCAAGAGAAATGCAAAGTATAAATAGAATACATTTGCAAAGGAGAAAAGTTACTATTTTTAGAAAATATGATTATATACTTGGAAAACCAAAATAAAATAACTGAAAGCTGGGTGGACAAATCAATCCAGTGCTCAAGTGGATACAAAATTAATGTCCAGCAGAACTCGCTTTTCTGTGTGCCACAAAGCCACAGGGAAACGTGGCATGAGAAGTATCAGTGGCAGCTGGGCACGGTGGCTCACGCCTGTAATCCCAGCACTTTGGGAGGCTGAGGCGGGAAGATCACCAAGTCAAAAGATAGAGACCACCCTGACCAACACAGTGAAACCCTGTCTATATTTAAAAATAAATATATATTTTAGCCGGGTGCAGTGGCTCACGCCTGTAATCCCAACACTTTGGGAGGCTGAGGTGGGCAGATCACCTGAGGTCAGGAGTTCAAGACCAGCCTGACCAATATGGTGAAACCCCATCTTTAAAACAATATATATACATATATTTAAAAAAGAGAGAGAGAGAAGTATCATGGCCCGCAGACACCAGCACATGTTATCCATAACAAGAGTGAAATTCACAAGGTAACTGTGAGGCCTGAATGAAGAAAACTAAAAAATTAATAAGGAGCATGAAAGAAGACTTGAATGGAGAACCTTGTTCTTCAGTAAGAAAACACAGGATGTGGCCGGGCGTGTGGCTCCCAGCACTTAGGCAGGCCAAGGTGGGTGGATCACAAGGTCAAGAGTTCGAGACCAGTATGGCCAACACAGTGAAACCCCATCTCTACTAAAAATACAAAAAGTTAGCCAGGGATGGTGGCGGGTGCCTATAATCCCAGTTACTTGGGAGGCTGAGGCAGGAGAATTGTGAGGCGGAGGTTGCAGTGAGCCGAGATTGCGCCACTGCACTCCAGCCTGGGCGACAGTGTGAGACTCCGTCTCAAAAAAAAAAAAAAGAGGCCAGGCATGGTGGCTCACACCTATAATCCCAGCACTTTGGCAGGCCAAGGCGGGGGAATCGAGAGGTCAGCAGTTCAAGATCAGCCTGACCAACATGGTGAAACCTGTCTCTACTAAAAATACAAAATTAGCCAGGCATGGTGGCAGCTGCCTATAATCCAGCTACTCAGGAGGCTGAGGCAGGAGAATTGCTTGAACCCGGGAGGTGGAGGTCTCAGTGAGCCGAGACTGCACCACTGCACTCCAGCCTGGGCGACAGAGCACAACTGTCTCCAGAAAAGAAAACGCAGGATGTGTCTGTAGGCAGAGTGATAGGTCACAAAGATGTCCACATGCTCATTCTTGGAGCCGTGACTGCATTCTTACCTGGCGAAGGAATGTTATCTCACATGGCAGATGGTATTAAGTCTGCTAATCAGCTGAGCTTAAGACGGGGAGATTATCTTGGGTTATGTAGGTTTTCCTGGCATAATCACAAGGGTCCCTACGTGGGGACAGGGGGCAGCCGGGAGCCGTCCTGACTCAGAAGGACTCAGCCCCACGCGGTGAGCTCCGCTGAAGGGAAGCTGAAAATGAATTCTCCCCTGGAGCCTCCAGAGCGGCCCGGCCTTGCCAGCACCTTGGTTTTCACCCGGCGGGACTGAGCTAGGACTCGTGGGGGGCAGGACCGGGGGGGAAACGTTTTTTATTTTTTTTTTTTTTAGATGGGGTTTCACGGTGTTGGTCAGGCTGGTCTTGAGCTCCCGACCTCAGGTCACCAGCCTGCCTTGGCCTTCAAAGTGCTTGGGCTTGGCTTTCCTTTTTTTGTACTTTTGAAGCCACTAAGCTGTGCTCCCTGATTCTCCTGGAAATAATGTATCATTTTACTGATACAATCTTAAGTCCCACAGGATTTTGAGGTAGTTTGACAAAGTGATTCTGACATTCATCTGAAAGAATAACATATGTAAATAACCATTTAAGAAGTAGATAAGGGCCAGCGCGGTGGCTGAAGCCTGTAATCCCAGCACTTTAGGGGGCTGAGGCGGGCGGATCAGGAGGTCAAGCAATCGAGACCGTCCTGACCAACATAGTGAAACCCCGTCTCTACTAAAAATACAAAAAAAATTATCTGGGCGTGGTGGTGTGAGCCTGCAATCCCAGCTACTTGGGAGGCTGAGGCAGGAGAATTGCTGGAACCCGGGAGACGGAGGTTGCAGTGAGCCAAGATCACGCCAGTGCACTCCAGCCTGGCGCCGGGCAACAGCGCGAGACTCTGTCTCAAACAAACAAACAAACAAAAAGTAGAAAAGAAGAGTGATGGACAGCAGCGAGCCCCACCCAACAGTGAGGCGTAAAGGGTCAGACCCCACACGGCGGGGGCCCGCCCCGGACGTCAGAATCCATGAAAAGACAAAAGTGTGTGAGTGAAGAGTGGGACCTGGTGTCTGGCAAAGAAGGCATTTCGAGTTAAGAGAGGTGGTGGGGATGGTAGGTCCATCGGCGGTTTAGGGATCGGACAGCTGGCTGCCCTCCTCTGCCCTGTGCAGAAAAAACATCAGGGCTTTGCATGTTTAACTGTTTTTGGTTTTTTGTTTTGGTTTTTGGGACGGGATCTCTGTCGCTCAGGCTGCAGAGCACTGGTGAGATGACGGCTCACTGCGGCCTCCACCTCCCAGCTCTGGCGATCCGCCCACCTCAGCCTCCTGAGTAGCTGGCACTACAGGCCCACACCACCACACACAACTAATGTTCTATCTTCTGTAGAGATGTGCAGGGGCAGGAAGGAGGGTCTCACTACATTGCCCAGGCTGGTCTTGAACTCCTGGCCTCAGGTAATCCTCCTGTCCTGGCCTTCCAAAGTGCTGGGATTACAGGCATGAGCCACTGCACTCGGCCAAATGTTTAATATTTTAAAATCATAAACACCTAAAGAAAATCACAATTAAATATATATATACACATATATATGTGTGTGTGTGTGTGTATTTGAGATGGAGTCTCGCTCTGTCACCCAGGCTGGAGTACCACGGGGCGATTTCAGTTCACTGCAACCTCTGCCTCCTGGGTTCAAGTGATTCTTGTGCCTCAGCCTCCTGAGTAGCTGGGACTACAGGTTCACACCAACATGCCTGGCTAATTTTTGTATTTTTGGTAGAGACGGGGTTTCTTCGTGTTGGCCAGTCTGGTCTTGAACTCCTGGCCTCAAGTGATCTGCCTGCCTCAGCCTCCCAAAGTGCTGGGATTACAGCCATAACCACTGCACCTGGCCCACAGTTGAACGTATTTATTAATCTTGGAGTGGCATGGAAAAATAGAACCATAAAGGAACATATTGGCAGAAAGAAAATTTGCCTCTAGTGTAACCTGGGAAACCAGATAGATTTTTCACCTCTGTTTTCCAAGAGACACCTCTGTGTTCTACAGCTAAGCTCTAGTCAGACTTTGTGGTTTTTTACTGTTCCACCACCCATTGGCTGTGTGACCTGGTGATAGTTTCTTAACCTCTCTGGTTCTCAGTCATCTAATCTGTAAAACGGCCATGAGAGAAGCTCTACCCTACAGGGCTATTGTGCACATTAAATGTGTCAATGAACATAGCTAGGACTTAGGATAGAGTGTGTGAGTAGCTATTATTATAAATACCCATCTCATCCATCAAGAAAAACCAATTCAGTTCTTCAGTCTTTAATATGAATGAATACTCACAAAGATTTACTCCCAAGAGGGAAACCAGCTGTGTAAGTGAGAGGATAATGATTTTTTAAAAACGGACCCTTTAGGAAACAAGAGATCATTAGGGAACAGATGAGAACTTAGGGAGAAGGGGCCGGGCGGGGTGGCTCACGCCTGTAATCCAAGCACTTTGGAGGCCAGGGGTGGATCACCTGAGGTCGGAAGTTCAAGACCAGCCTGACCAACATGGTGAAACCCCGTCATAAAAAAAAGAAAAGAAAAGAAAAAAGAACTTAGGGAGAAGGAAAACCTAATTGATATCTCAAGAAAATAAAAACACGAAGGCCAGGCATGGTGGCTCACGCCTATGATCCCAGCCCAAGGTGGGCAGGTCACGAGGTCAGGAGTTTGAGACCAGCCTGATGAACATGGTGAAACCCCATCTCTACTAAACCTACAAAATTTAGCCGGGCATCGCGGCAGGTGCCTGTGGTCCCAGCTACTCAGGAGGCTGAGGCAGGAGAATCAGTTGAACCCGGGAGGCGGAGGCCGCAGTGAGCTGAGATTGCGCCATAGCACTCCAGCCTGGGCGACAGAGCAAGACTCTGTCTCAAAAAAAAAAAAAAAAAAAAAAAGGAAGAGAAAAACATGAAAGGGATGCTGTGACTGAAAAATAAATAGGGAACAAAAAAGATCTTAGAAATTAAGACTTTAATTGTTAAATTAAAAAAAAATCAGGCCGGGCACGGTGGCTCACGCCTGTAATCCCAGCACTTTG